GTGTTCTTCACATTCTACCTCCTGAAAATTAGGCTTAAGAAACTTTAGCAAATCTTCCTTTTTTGTATCAGGGGAGAGTCTTGTTACATGTAAGTATGTATATTTAGGCACGGTACTGATTCCTTGGGCACTTTGATTTTCCCCAACAACAAATTTTCTCCGTTTTACTTGTTGCCAGCCATATCTTTCAGTTTCTTTATTGGATTGGCCAAGATGTATAATTTCATTCATTTTATTTACCATTTCAGCCTCTATAATCCCTGCATTTATTTGTTTACTATTTATAGGATTAGTTTCATTTGAGTTAGACATTTTTCTGTCATTACTTTTGTTTTTATTTGTATGTTGGATTTCATTTTTTCTCATATTGGTAGTATTGACACTGTTGGTAGCACTCATAATTATGCTTTTCTGCAGAGATAGGGTTGGCTGCATTGGTGTTTTGGTGCAGTTGGTTTGGTTGTTGGTAATGTTGACTAGTGACATTTGCCAATGATGGTACAGTGTTGCCAGATTTTCCACTTTCCAGGCATTTATTCCTGATTTTTTCTTCTAATAATTTAATATTCGTATACAGTAGAGCCTCTTTGTCCCTCAGTTCAGATATAATCTCCTCCTTACTTTTTATAATTTTAACTTTAGCTTGCACTAACTCCTTCAATGAATCAGCTCCTGCACTAACCTCACTTTGCTTCAAACAGCATTTTACTTGATTATTCCTTCCTACTGCCATCAAGCCAGCTACCCTCAATGCACATGATGTATGGAATATTCCTTCACATATCACACACTTTGCAATGGAATTTGCAACACTTTTGCTACAATATTTGCAACTTCCTGAACACGCATTTTCTTGCTTATCATCACCGGCCATGTTGCCGATGTATATGTTCAATCTGGTTCAACATAGGACTGTAAGGTGCCGATCTGCAAAATATAACATTTCGAAATTCTTCCTCCATGCATATCTCTTCAATTCTTGAATGTGCAGGTGCATTATCCAGAACTACCACTATGGTATCTGCAGGATGCTCATTTCGAACGCACGCTCTCAAACACCGTTTCATCCATTGTAAACAATCTTCTCTTGTGCAATTAAAAACATTTCAAACAAATATAAGGATTTTTTTTCTGAAATTGAACCTACCAATTCTGAAATACAACTTACCATTTCTGAAATTGAATGGACTTTTTCTGAAATTCATCTCACCGATTCTGAAATTGAGTTTACCATTTCTGAAATCGAACTAACCAATTCTGATATTGAGATTACTTTTTCAGGAATATAACTTACCGATTCCGAAATTGAAGTTGAAAAGGTATAGAGGACATTTGAACAGGTAAACGTGACAACACGGCGCACAAACTGAGGGCGTGGTCTTGTAAGTTCTCAGTATTCAGCAAAATGTTGCCAATATAAGTATCCAACATTTACATGATATTTTGTTATAAAGTATAAGAAATATTTGGACATGCTGGGTGTTGAGTTTGAAAAAGTCAAAAATGAACTATAATATCATAACCATGGGTTCATCCTATTATGTTTTTTACACCGACCGGACTCTCATCTTTTTGAAAACTTGATTAAAATTGGTGACTTGGCAACATTGCGTCATGAGTGGCTATGGAAGATTATCTGACCATGAAACAGCATAAAAACCAGGGGCGTATTTACCTATGGGCCAAAAGGGCCATGGCCCAGGGCGGCAGGCTGCGAGGGGCGGCGCAAGCCGCACCACGCTTAGGTTTTTTTTTTACTTTATTCCTCCGAAGAAATTAGCGTCGGCGGCACACAGTTAGATTACTCCGTGTCGGAACCTTTGATGTCGATGTTCCAATTTTACCTCTCACTCACATGCACTCCTGGGAAACAAAGTCAACAAATTCTGGGTGCGCAAAGCATTTGTCATTTATTGCGAGCGGTGGTATTGTATCCGATGGCTCCGCCTCCATGCGCGTGGGAAATAGATTCCAGTTGCGCAGAGGATAAATTGGACCATGCAAAAGGACTGAGTAGTGAGTAAGCTAACTGATTCTTTTAGCAATAAACTATAAACTTTGTCTAAATATAGCCGAGATTGGCGCAAGCGCAGTGAGTAACTGATCTCTGGCGCAGGCGGCGTGGCGGGGTTAACGCAATGCGTGCTTCAGTGCTTCTGTTTTGTTTGTTGTTGCAAGTTGCAAGTTGTCTCTAATCAGCGCATCAAATTATTAGGTTTTGTTCTGGACTTTGAATACTAACCTATATTATCAGTCAGTGTTTACAAATTATTTCATAATATTAGGCAGTTTGTAGCTACGATCAGTTATTTCACCTAAGATAAGAACTAGAGTTAAACTACGAGTTAAAAGTTGAATAACACATATAACTAACTCGTAGCTGAATAAGTTTAACGTTAGTGTTGTGTTACTACTGTTACTGACATCATGGATCCTACTAAAAAAAAAACTAAGTGGTCACGCTTACAGAAGAAAAGCTTTAGAAAAAACACAGAAGCAAGAAAACATTGTCAAACAAACATCTGGCGGATGATTTACAAGAAGAATGTGTTCTCTTAAAACAATTCCAGACATCTCATGAAAATAAAATGAGTTTAAGGCAACTCAGCTTATTTATTAAGCAAAAAGAGAAGAAGGAAGCATTTCCATATATTGAAATAGCATTACGAATATTTCTGTGCACTGCGGTGACCAATTGCAGTGCAGAACGGTCATTTTCTGTACTTAAAAGAATAAAAAATTATTCACGTTCTCGTTTAAGCGAAGAACGTTTGAATAGTTTAGCTATTCTCAATATAGAAGCTGAACTGACAAATTCCATTAATTATGACAGTGTTATTGACGAATTTGTTAACCAATCTGTCCATCGAAAGAAAATGTAAATATGGAATAAATAGTGTTTATTTCTTTCTTTGGCCTTAATTTTTCCATTCATTATTATCATTCTCAAATCAATATACTGCTGGCTTTCATTTCATGATTTAATGTTTTGCTCATTTTCCGTTGATTTATGGGGCGGCCAGGGCCGATCCTAGGGTGTCGGCCGCCCGCGTGCATAAACCTAATGTGCCGCCCCTCTAGAGAATTTTTCATATTTTTTAACTATAATACCTGATGACTTCATAACTTCAACTACTTGTACAAGGATATTAAGTAAAACACAGAAAAAAAATGTAGACAAAATCTTCATGCGCCGCAGGAGAATTTTTTTGAGTTCAAGGTCAAATGCTTTCAGGTAATAACTCCATTTCAGTGCATACCGGGAGCGGCCAAGAAACTCTGACAAAATTTTCCTATGGCAAAAAATGCGCCGCAGGCGAAATTTTTGTTGGGATTCAAATTCATCACATTAGTATATTACAGTTTATTGTAATTGATATAAAATGATCTGGAATCTGAAAATAAGAACAATAAGAAGAGCAAGTGAAAAGTATTTTAAATGGTGTCTGTAATTTAACCAAGTGGAAAATATGCCCCTTGGTTATTGTTTCAAATAGAAATTTAAAATTTGGGAAGATAAGAATGTGTATAAAAAGTAGACATTAATTGACAATGGACCAACACACTATTTACTATCATTTTATTTATTCAAAATGCAGCATATTCATTCGACTTATGAGTTTCAAATAATTTTGTTTGATAGGACAATATGCGGCCTGCGGCCGCCCCTTGTTTTGGCCGCCCGCGTGCGGGGCACGCGCTGCACACCCGCTAGGATCGGCCCTGGGGGCGGCAAACCCTACAGGCCTGGGGCGCTGAATATTGAAATAGGCCCCTGATAAAAACTGACGCCACTATTTATTGGATAGTATGTTTGAAATGAGCTCTGAAATTCAACAATTTCCAACAACACATAGACTCAATATTTACATAAAAAAAGCATGAGAAGTGTTGCAAGAATTAATTTAGGTCCCTAACAATACAATGGAGTAATTTAATACCAATAATGCATTATCAGTGCACTAGCCCATTCCAAAAAATTTTAAATTGTATTCAGAGAACATTTTTGGGCCCAAAATAAATTAGAAAAATGTTTTTTTCAAACGGGGCCCCTCTGAAATTTTTGGAAAAATGCACAGCTTTGATTCATTTCCACTACCTACCATAAGAAGGCATGTATACAGTTGCATAGTTGTACCTACACACAAAATTGAGAAAAATTTTAGTTGAACTAATTTAACAATGTTCAAATTTTGAAGGTTATGATCACTATTTTACTATTCTGATTCCATATCATATCATTCACCAGAGTGATATGCATGCAAGCATTTCTGAACTTCAGCTTTTTCATTCCCTAAACTCAAAAGTCGAAACAAAAACAATAAGAACTTATATCAAAAGAGAATGATGATTCATTTTGAGCAATCCCCAAAGAATATGAATTGCCACAATGTCATTCATGAATCATCTATAAAACTAGTGAAGCATATGGGGTTCAGCACCCATTCAAATCTTGGACATTAATTCCATCAATAGGTGGATGATTTGTGTTACTAGCAGTAATACCACCAATATCAAAATATGAACTTGACAAACTCTGTCTACACATCCTTTTGTCATTTACCTAGATATAAATTTTTTGTCTAGATAACAGAAAGATTTGTTATTCTTTGGATAGGGAAGTATTCCCAAGGGCTCATAACCTCCAAAAGATGAGAAAAGTTCCATTACTTACCTACCTTCTCTCCTCATCCTCCCTAGGTATGCATGATGTTTCATGAAGGTAATGCACTCCAAAAGATAACAGAAAAGTTACAGACATGTTGAATATTCTGCTGTTAGAGCATCTTTAGATGATAACATGAATTTTGTTGAGAAAGAAACAAATCTAACATATTTGTCCTCCTTACAGTTTGAAAAGTCAATAAGTCCTAGATAAGGCAGTATTGTGGTAGTACCTGTTTTCTCTTGTAAGATTAATACCTCGCTTGATACATTTGGACATGTTGCCTTTACCAGTGAATGAGTTCACCATGAGAATTGAGATGAGAATTTCTTACCATCCCTAGCATTTCGATGATCTTTGTCTTCTTTTGGACAATAAACAAGTTGGAGAATGAGAGGTCTTCTTGTTACAATTCCTACACCCCTTGGTAAAAATGATTTGCCAACTAGGCTCTCAATCACAGAACTTTTACCTGAACTCTGAAAATAATCATGGAAATGATTTATACACTCATACCTGAGGTTATGTCACAACCAAATGAATAATTTGGACCTACCTGTGAGCCAAGAACAATTATTTGGGGCAAATGAATTGCATCCGATCCTACTGTGTTGAAAACATCTTGCAGTTTGTTGATTACGGGAATAAGAGCCTCCATTTCCGCCTTTCAATGGATGGTTAACAACCAAATTATTTTCCCAAAATATTGATTGAGTATTTTTATAATCTATATCATCATTCAACCAACCCAATATTCTTCTGTAACGATCTTATATGGATCTTATGGCCTCGGGATCTTCTTATAGTGAATCGCGATCCTAAAAAATATTTTTTTGTAAAATTACAGAACTGATCAACTTGAAATTTTTCTTGAATACTTGAAAACTTGAAAGTTGAAACCGGACCGAACAATGTTGCCATATGCATATGGTCCATCGTGAAGGTAAGTGTTCTGTGGTACTGTGCCATTGACAAGCAAGGTCTGACATTTAGATCACGGCAGGATGTGGCTGGGCAGGAGGCTGTCGCTGGCGCTGTTGCTGGCACCTAAGATACCTAACCTCTGAGATGCTTATTATAAACATCTCACCTTGAACCTAACAGCCTTTGTGTGTCTCTCAAGAAACCATGATCAGAATGATCAATTCTAGAACACGTGATTTCGACATGGTTTCTTAAGGGGCACACAACATCTACAGTATAATAACAGTTTCACCAAACACAATTATGGAATTATTTCCGGTTCCAACTCGGATTCCAAGGAAAAGATCCCACTTTTTCTGGTTTCATATGACATTTATCTTGACGAAATACAATGTTTGCCCCTCAGCAACTTGTCAAATGACGTAATTCTGATATGATTTAGCATATTGGCTCACAATCATTGGCTCAGGGAGCTCGAACAAACAAGTGGATCGCGACAGAAGCTGCCGTTGGTGCTTCTGCTGCTGCTGATGCCTGTCTCATCAAAGAGGAGAGGGGATAAGAAATAATGCATTGTATTCAGAATAGTGTCCCTTTCATGTCAATGAACTCAATATAGGTGTTTATATAAAAATCAATTGGACCACTTTGAGAAATATGAATGGTGTCCATGATTTATTTTATATTGAGTTCATTGTTCATTGTATGTTTGCTAAGCGGGAAGATGTAAAAGTATCTTGCATTGCCAGTAGTAGTAAATTCTCATTCTACCGTCTAGTCTAGATCTATGGGTTGGACACAGAAATGATGGCTGTAGTGTTTCACAATTAAGTTACACACCTTGCATTGTAACAAGAGCACCATAGTCTTCCCGCGCTTTTTTATTCAATATCGAATATCGTTTGAATTTGACAATAAATTCTATGAACGTGTTGAGAAATGGTGAAAAATTGTATATAGGTATTCAAACTAATGTGCTCATAATTATATGTCATGTGTTCTGTATATATCCATGTTGGGAATCATTTTTGCAGTTTTTCACGAACACTTAGTATTTCTTGAATGTAGGTAGAATTTTTTAAAAGGTTGGGCATCTGCCTCTCCTTTTGATCCTCCGTTCCAATCAAAACTGTTTCTCCAAAATGCATTCAAAAACTTGTGGTGTGGATAATAATTATAGGCACAATGAGAAAGTTTGATTTGTGATTTCACATTGGTTTTACCTGGTCATAATTGTGCAATGTCGCAATCTATTAGAAGATTGTCGGAACCATTGCTCTCGCTGTTCCCGAGAGGTCGAGTAAAATTTCTGAAACAAAATCCGTCATACACCGTATTTTAATGAAGATATATTGTGCCCATTTTCCAAAAATGAAGGTTTATCGAACCTTTCCACGAGTAATTCAAATCTTCCAGGTTGGGAAAATAGGATATACAGGGTGTTTCCTAACTACGGTTCCTAACTGCAGGTGGTGATTCATTAGGTCATTTTAGAAAGAAAAGTTCCCATTAACATATGTCCGGAGTTGCTTTGTTTCTGAGATACAGGGCGTTGGAGTTCAAGAAAAAAAAACGGTAATTATAAAATATCAAGAATATCCTAGAACCGATTTGGTTAAAATTTTGTACTTTCATTTGAACTAATAAGGCGCTTATTTAGCCCTATTTAGATTGAAATTATTGGGGGTCAGTGGCGTCTCAGTGGGTACCACAGCCAACAATATTGTGAAAAAAAGTACGCCACTGACTTTTTTTGGTGAATTTTTATATTGTTTAGATTGAGCAACTCAAAATACAACTTTTTGGTCTCCTCCACTTTCTTCATATCCAGCTTCGTTTTCGAGAAAAAAAATCAAAGCCACTGTATTGCATATCATGAACACCTTCATTGGAGAAATGAGTTTTTCATTATTTCCGCCAAAAATTTTATTGACACTTGATATGCTGAAATTTGAGAAAATTTGACAAATAAAAGTACGAAATTTCAACCAAATCGGTTCCAGGATATTCATGATATTTTATAATTCCCGTTTTTTTTTTTCTTTAATTCCAACGCCGTGTATCTCAGAAACGAAGCAACTCCGGACATATGTTCATAGGAACTTTCCTTCTTGAAATGACCTAACAAATCGCCCCCTGCAGTTAGGAACCGTAGTTAGGAAACACCCTGTATATGTAAATCGAACAATGCGCATGCGTCCATGATATTTCACGGCAAGTTTCATGCAAGTTTCGTAATAGAACCATTCCAATTTTTCCTGCAATTTCAAGGCAAGTTGAGTAAAAATTTTAGTAATATTCATCGTAGCATCTTGATAAAATACAAATTTTCTCCATAACGTGGCCTGAAACACCAAGTTACGTCAAAATATACCTTGAAGGCTCAAAAAACCATAAAATAGTGAATATGTACAAAAAAATATAACAGAAATATCTCACTGTACGGCCACTTGCATTGAATTGAGAAAATTGCGAGAAAATTGCATTGCCTCAAACTTGCCGAGAAATAGCATAATGTACGGCGCCCTTAACAGTATTTCACCAGATGAAACTACTGTGCATGTTAGCGAAACATGTCGTGTGATAAGAATTTTGTGGAAATCTCATCGTTTGTGGAGTTTTTGCAAGACAATGTTCAAAAAAACAACGGAAATAAATGTGACATTCCTCCCCCCTCTAAAGTAATGACAGTCCACTGAAGCCAAATTAGTCTGTTGTTAACGTTGTTAGCTTTAGCGGTCTAGATAGAAGTATACATGGGTGCGTTTTTCATTCCAACATTTTATCATGCGCATGAATCGAAGAAACCATCAAACTGTTGCAAAATTCCGCTGGAATGTTGATGGACATCCATCAAACTGTTGTAATAAAATGCGCACTTTTAAATTGTATTTCGAGAATCCAGCAGTTTGGAGGAGATTGACATGACAGTTGACACATTTTAGTGTTGTTTTTTGTTTTGATTTGATAGAAAACAATTAATATTGAGGATTTTTGAGATTCTTGAGAGATTTTAGAAGAAAGAGTCAGTGTTAATCAATAAAGTCGAATTAGCCTTTTCTGATTCTCAAGAGACATGATGACTGACACACAACAAAATCCGTGTTTCCATCAATGTGTTGTAGAAACCATTGTTCAATCCTTCCAGCATAAATTCCAACAGAACAATTGGTGACGTCACGACAAAAAACCGCATCTATCAGTGCGCACTTTCTTTGATGGAATGAAAAACACGCCCCATCTCTTGTATGTCTATGGCTAAACCATATACCTACTAAATAAAACGTCATGGCAAAGAGAAAATTGACATTTGACATTGAATTGTAGGTTAGGGTTAAAAGTTGAGTTTTGAGTTGTGTTTTCAAAACAAAGATTATATTATTATAATTTTACCGAATTTTAACATCTTGCAAAATAATCATTATATTGCATATAAAATTTATGTTGTTTTGAAGCGTTTCGTTTACCAATTTCCAATATATTATGTACCAATCAATTACTACTGTCCTGTCCGAGTTCTCACATTGAACAGGCTTATGATCTGGTGCTGATTCAGTAATGATTTTCATAAATCTCAATGCAATAGTGTAACATATGAAACAATAAATACATTTCTCCTCAGATCATCTTTAATAGTTTCCCAAGGTCGTCCAAGGAGTTTTTTCTAGAGTTTTTTCCTCAGTTTTTTCAAACCACCTCACAGCTTGAATGTAATCATGTGAAATCATTATCATTGTTATTGTTGATATGGAATATACCCACAGCAGTCACAGCTAGGGTCACACAGCCAGACACAGCATCTGAACAAATTTCTTCTAGTTGGATGATAATTCAAAATCTAGAATTCAGCTGATATAGTAGACAAGTACATTAACAGATTATGGGTTCCATTATTGGTGTACTGAAAAACATTTTATGCAGGATGTTACAGTTGCTTTCCTTTGGCAAAAAAACAATTACCAATTCCTTGAGTGTGTATGTGAAAATCAGTGGAGGGAGAACAGTAGCTGTTGATCTGGACCCTACATGGGATATTAAAAATGTCAAGGAAGTAGTAGCACCTAGATTAGGACTAGAACCAAATGAAGTGAAAATAATTTTTGCTGGAAAAGAACTGGGTGACAAGATTAAAATTTCAGTAAGTAAATTTTTTTCAGTAAATTGTGATATATTTGTCAATACAATCAAGAAATCACCAAAAGTTTACATTCAATAAATGACCTCATGCACCTATCTTTGTGTTTAATTAGTTATTGATTGTGATCAATGGCATAGCTTTACTCTTCTCAGTAGAATTTGAGGGTTTATTACATCATGAAATGTCTGTTCTTTTAAATGTATTCATTAATTCATTTATTTGTTTATTTATTTAATAATTCTAAATTACATATGATAGATACTTACCATGTTTATTTTGGAAAATACATACCTAGTACCTACCTGGATATTCTCTATTAAAACAAAAATTGAGAAGATCCTAAATTGGTGTATATTTGGGTTTCTCTCTTAGTGTTTTTTAAGCACTGATATTTAGAAAAATGTATATGTACCTTGATTTTTTGAAAAACACTCCCAGAGATACCCTCCTCTTGAGCTAATGAATTTTTTTCAACATTTGGATATTATTCATGTATGTCTGGTGAGATCCTGAATCTTTTAGGAGTGTGATCTTGGCCAACAAAGTATTTTGCATGCTGTGAAAGTTCGAGGAAGACTCAGAACTACATTGCCTCCACCAAGCACTAGTCTCATTGAAGATATTGATGAACAAGCCAGTAAACCCTTATCTGAAACACTGAATGACACCATGTTTTCAAATGAAGACAGCTCAAAGAGTAGTTCAAATATTGATGATGGCAGTACAAACTCAGGGGAAGGTAATAAAACTTTTGATGTGTACAGTTAACTTAAAATTACTGTAGGAACTTGTATTTTATTATACTTCTTTGGAATCACCTTATTTTCATATATATTAGTAATATATCCTGGTAATATTGTAAGATGGGCTTTTTAACCATGGAAACAAATCATACATGCCAAACACTGTATTAGTGGTGTTAGAGGCATCTTAGGTGTTAGGAAGAAAACAATGAAGAATGGCATTGATGTGATGACAACTGTTTGACAATCACATACAATCAAAATGACATAATCATCATCAATAAAAAAAATCTAAGTTTAGATTATTATATCAATTTCTGGATCTTTGGATGGAATCAATTGGATTGATGATACATATTGAATAATAATTTTGGTATATGGGCTGTGATGTAGGTACATGGGAGTATTTCTACTATGATTAATCAACAATCATTCCCTAGAAATTGTTGTTAATCTATATTATCAAATTTTGATAGAACCTATTTAATGAAGAATATTGAAGTGAATCATGCAGTTAGCACCATATTGAATATGGAAATGGAAAGTGCATTGAAACTTTTATTTGTTGGAGAAACAAAGAACATAATTGAATTCAGGATGATGAATCTTTCATACTTTCCCAAAAAGTTAAATTTTTTATGAGATTTGTTATTCCAAGCATAGATTTGAATACCCACCAAGACTCAATACAAATACTTTTCAGAGCCATGAGCTATTTATGCACATTTTTCCTCTTTTGTTCGTTCATCTTTTCCACCAGTAGAAGAACTATTTCCTATTCCATAACAACTACTTTTTTTCAGAGTTTTTGATGTGAAAAAATTGATATGATGTTTGTCAAATACCCCTTTTCGTCAAACATTCCACCACACATTTGATGTTCTGAGACTCAATGGGCAGTGGCCAGTGGCACCAGGATGATAAGAAATTCCACAGAATAGTCAATGTACCGGTGATTCTGTCCCACTGGTGACACTAGCAATGTCAATATTCACAAATTTAGGTGGACAAAATTAACTCAGAAGAAAATCTCGAAATTCCCGATAATATCCTAAAGCAAAGGGCACAAGGGACCGCGAATTTATTACCAGTAAAATCCAGGTCTAGTAGTTCCAAGTATTTTCATTTCAGCAACTGTGAAAATATAAATGTTTCAAGTTTTTTTATGTCTTTTTTATTTTCAATGAAGTTTAATATTGTTCATTACATGCCCAGAAATGATTTTTCCATGCTTGCATGACTTCCATGTTCTGCTTCGCCTCACATGAGGATTTGGTCACAGGTGCATTTAAAAATCCCTATTTCCAGACTCCTAATGAAATATGCTATTTCAATTTCTATCAAAACAGGGCCCAGCCCAGGGTGTCGGCCGCCCGCGTGCAAAAACTTAATGTTCCGCCCCTCTAGAGAACTTTTCATATTTTTAACTCCTCAACACACTGAGCACTTACATTTTATTTGCCTCAAACTGTGCTTTGCTATCGGGAAATCCGGACTCTTCAAAAAATATTTAAAATTCAGCATAATTTTTGTCCAGCTTATTATTAAAAAAAAAAATAGCTGATTTGGCTGCTCTTCTGCAGTGCACTAGCTGCACCCCTGCTAGGATATTCCATATATATCAAAAAAGAATTATTGAGATTGAGATCACTTATAAGTATTGTGGATAATAAACTGGATGAAACGAGAGGGAAGACACGGCGGCAATAGGTGTACAAAATGTTCGGAAATGAATGGCAATACTTGGGGCATTATAGGCATTATCGGCATTATAGTAGTAGTAGTAGTTTATTTAGCAATATTCTGCTACTCATTTCACAACAACAATACAATATTTAAATCTAATATAATATACATATATACACATACATACACACACATACATACACATATATATATACACACATATATATACAATAATTACGAAATCCTTATTTCATTCAAACAAATATTTATAAATAATTTCTCATTCCCTAATACTTTTCTTTCACATATTCCACAGCCTTTCTTCTGAACTCATTGAACATATTAATTGATCTTATATACAATGGTAAATTATTATACAGCACTAGTCCATTATAAAATATTGACTGCTTTGTTGATGTCTTCTTCACAGCTACCACATATATATTGGAAGCCGTTCTAGTGTTGTATTTATGAATTTCATTAACAAACTTGATTCTATCTGACATATACCTTGGAAGCATTTTGTGCAATATTTTGTAAATAAATAGAACAACATTAAAGACCAGTCTTTGATTTATACTCATGAAATGTAAGCATTCTAGCATCGCATTTGTTGAGGTATACTTATTTACTTTCAATATAATTCTCATAGCTCTATTCTGTTGTATCTGTAATTCTTTTTTTCCCCATCGTTACAATAATAAACAATGGTGGGGCAGTATTCAAAGAGGAGAGCTATAATGGCCTTATATACCGTAACTCTGGAAAACATCGACAAGCTCTCACTAATCCTATAAAAGTAATTTATCCTCTTACTAATTTTATCGAGTGTATACCTAATATGTTTATCAAACTTTAACTTGCTATCAATAATTAATCCCAGATATTTACATTCAGAAACATACTCCAGTTCTTCATTGAATAATTCAAGCTTAGTAACTGTTTTTGAGTCTGCATTTGTTCCAAATAGCATTACTTTTGTTTTTTTCGTATTAACAAACAAGAAGTTATCTTCTAACCATTTTTCAAATTTTATCAATTCATTTTGCATCGTATTGCATACCTCATCTACTGATTTCCCAGATACTGATATTACCGTATCATCGGCAAATAAGTTGACTGTTGTTTCTTCATCAAAGCAATTCACAATATCATTGATGTATGTGATGAACAAAATTGGGCCGAGTACCGACCCTTGTGGTACTCCAAATTCAACCTTCTGCTTCTGTGACACATAGTTGTTAATTTTCACTTGTTGAGATCTATCATTCAGGTAATCTTCAAACTCAAGTGCTTCACACCGTATTCTGTATTTTTTAAGTTTTTCAATCATTATTTTTCTGTTGATAGTCTCAAACGCTCTTTTGAAGTCTACAAATACCGATAACACTATTTTATTTTGCTCAATCTGTTCTTTCCACTTAGTAATTACCAACTGAATAGATGTCTCACATGAGTGTTTATCACGAAATCCTGACTGATTCTCTATAAGTATATTATTATCCATTAAATGTGTTAAGAATTGTTTTTTTATATGAATCTCCATTATTTTCTCTGGTAATGGCAAAGTATTTATAGGTCTATATTCTTCACATTTTTTTGAATTAACCACTTTTGGAACTGGGATAACAATTGAGTTTTTCCACCTGCTGGGAATTCTAGCATGTTCTATTGATTTATTTATGATTTTTATGATTTCTTGTTTCAACTTATCTTTACCTGCTCTAATTATGTCCATTTCCATTATATCTGAAGAGCTCTCTTTTTTTATTTCCCTAATAATATTTTCAAAGTCAACATCTTTCATTTTGGTTAATCTACTCAGTGGTATTATATTTTCCTGTAACTCTGCAGCAGTAGTAATGTGTTGGTTTCTATTTCTTCCTACTATATTTTTGATGCTTTCAATAAAGTACATATTAAATTTTTCTGAAATATCCATTATTTTTGTTACATTCTTATTATCAAAATAAATATTTGTGAATGTTTGACTATTTGTTTTTTTATGGCCCATAACTTCTTTGATACCTTTCCACATTTTTTTCCCATTGTTTTTGTAACTATCAATTAAATCTTTGTAGTAGTTATTCGAAAACAATATAAATTTTCAAACTGCACTTTGACCTCTCGTTTGCAGTACGACTTGGTTAATTTCAATATCATTAAATGTGCAGGTGCTACAGATCTTGCCTCACCCTGTATATCAGCTACTCATGTAGGTACCCATCAATACAACTATCTACTGATGTTAGGGCCAGGATCGAACAGAGAAAATATTGTCCAAGTCATGTGTTGACGTCATATGACTTGGAAAATGACGCGAATGAGTCTTAGCCCAATATGACCTCATATCAATCACATTTGGTTACGTCAGTCACTCACGAGGTCACCCATCTCCGCTCACCTCCTGATGTCGACATGAAAAAAAGGTTTTCAGACATGGCGTAACAAATACACCATGGACCTATATAAACTATGCTTATGAATTGTTGTGACATGATTGGTGGTTCCTCTGTTTGTCGGCCCATCGTATTTTAAGTACATTTTATGGTCCCTTCAACAACGCTATCGTTGGGAAACTCACGTGAGAGCAATTGCTAGAAGTGCATACCAAAAACTTGGTTTTCTGTTTTGGGCCAGGAGCTATTTCTCTTCCAATCAGCTGCTTATGATCTATAAGTCACAGATCCGACCTCTCCTGGAATAGTGTTCCCATTTTTGGAGTGCAGCACCCAAACATACCCTGAAACTGTTGGATTCTGTCCAAAAAAGGGCAATTCGTCTCATGGGTGATGCCTCGCTCACAAACTCACTCACTTCTCTGGAACACCGTAGAAAAGTTGACGATCTGACTCTATTTTAAAGATATTTTCATGGACGTTGCTCTTCTGAAATATCAACTATTGTTCCTCCCTTGGCAGTCCCCGCGAGATTAACCCGTCGAGTTAAGGCTTCGCACCCCTTTGTGGTCACTTTGGAGACCTGCAGAACATCTCTTTCCAAAGACTCGTTCATCCAACGAAAAGCGAGGCTCTGGAACACATTGCCAAGGGAGATGTTCCCCGAGGCATAGAACCTCCAGAAATTTATGAAGAACACTAATTCCCACCTTATTTTGCTTGGTTCTCACGATGTTCTCTGAACATTACAGGATATCGCTTTTCGTGGGAACCAGAACATCAAAAGTCTTTTGTGTATGGTGTATTTGAATAATCTTGTTTACGTCTTTCCTTCATATATGTTTGTTTGTTCTCAATGTTCTCAATGTGACTGTTTGCCATGCTCTTTAATTTTTTTTAGCACTTCATGAAATAAGATTTTTCTTTCGTTTTTTCTTGCCGACTTTAAAATGACGTCCCACAGATGGCATCATTTGGCTGTGACTATTTGCCTCCTTATGGACGTCTGCCAGACGTAAATTTTGACGTCAGATATTATTTTTTCCAGGCACAAATAGAACCAATGTACATTTTTATGTATTTTGTCCCACTTGCAAGGCTTTGAAAACCGGAAAACTTCGAGTGAGATGCCACTTTTGTAAAAGTGGCGCTTTCACTGTACATTCTGATCCCCAGAGTTGGAATGATGTGTTGGAACCAAAGCAGATCACAGGACTATGTGAAAATGGTTCTGAATTATGTGCAGATGTAAGTTTCATATTTATTCTATATTAGTAGACAGACATTTAGATATTTTCTTCAGATTCTCAATAATAAAGAACCAACTTTCGCAGAATTCTATTTCAAATGTTCAGAACATACATCTCTAGGTGAGCAAGATCAAGCTGTTCCACTATATCTCATCAGGCCAAATTTACGTGATGTGCCATGTTTAGCTTGTACAGATGTGAGGTAAGGTTTAATAATATAATAATTGTGAATACAGTTCTGTTTCCGAAATTGGATCGATGAATGTTTATATATATATTGTTTGTAGTTTCCGAAAATTTTCAAAAAATTTACGCTCTGACCCATGATACCATCCCTGAATTGTTATATATTGAGAGTCCGGCAACTTTGCTATACTAATGTGGGTGTTTGCTTTCCTAATTAGGGCACAGGAAACCTTTTCAAGCAACATGTTGTACTTTCCTCTTCCCATAATGTTATTACTCCAATATTTCCCGTTCATAATTTTCATGATTTTGTACGTTGTGGGGACGACTTTTAGTATTTTTTGCGAGATTTTTTGCTACACGATTTTTCAAAACAATTTATTTTGACCTCGATTTCGACAAAAATGTACTTTTATTTCATTTGTTTTACCCATTTCACACACAATTTATGCATGTCAGACTTGCTAACATTTTCAGTTTTACCAGTTGACGCCACTATTTTTCGAATCCAGCACTGCCTGATGCAACACTTTAATTTCACACAGAATTTCAGTTTCAAAAAATGAGTCAAACATCTTGGATTGGTAGTGATTTTCCTGTATATCTTCTTGACGCATTTGTACACTATAATGTCTTCGAACAAATCTCTAGATGACAAATACTTAACATAAAAAAATCATAGTCTCATGTAAAAAAAAATTAAAAAATCAAATTATGATTTCATTGTGAAACTTCATGTGCACCTTTGACATTTTGTCAGAGAACACATTCTTCTTGCATTTTTAAAAATAGTAAAGAAAAATGAAAGAAGTTAGTGAGTATTCTTACGTCTCAGTAGCGCGATCTATTGTAAAATCTAAATTTGTTAGCCCTACTTGACTTTCAATGAAAAAATACTCATGTTTCTAACAAATTGACTTTGTCTATCACAGTGATCCAGTAGTAGTGTTTCCATGCACTGAAGGACATGTGACTTGCTTGGATTGCTTCAGGCAATACTGCATAACCAGACTGACGGAAAGGCAGTTTTGGCAACACCCTGAATATGGTTACACTTTGGCCTGTCCTGCTGGCTGTCCGGATTCTTTCATAAAAGAAATTCATCATTTCCGGTTACTTAATGATACCCAAGTGAGTTTGAAATAGTATATCACATAGCTAGTGTGGAAAGTGGAATGCCACACCAGTGTAGACCCGAGCCTCACCGGTGTAGATAGCGATGACAGCATTGAAAGCAATGGGGTTATGTCTCGCAGATTATGACAAAATAAAGACCGAAACCTAAACAATCATTAGTTCTCATGATACAACATTTGAACTCCAACGAAATTGAATATAGGCGCTCGGAAATATTAACACACTGTTTGTTTTCACTTTTGCATTGCTATGGTGATATGAGATACTTCTTGAGTAACTACACAGTGTGTTATATTATGCTGCTTTCATAGGTACTCATAGAAAAAATGTTTTATTGTTGTTGGCGATAGTGCGATACTGTCACACTTGGCTAGAGAAACAGTTTTTTTTTTCTAATTTTGACTTGTAATTTGACACTTTTCAAAACTGGCTGAAGTTTTGAAACTTATAACGTTACATTACCAGTTGCGTAAAGTAAAATATCACATAACTGGTGATGACATGTTCGTTTCAAGAATAATTACCAAATATAAATATGGTTGGACGAAGTGAATAGTAGTGGATTTTGTGTTGCTTCCTCCATATCACTTGGGAAATCCGATAATGAAAATATCAAACGAGTTTATTTCGTGAATTTCGTCGCTGATTTGGCTCATGTGAAGTTGGCTCCGTTTTTTTTTAACACAATTTTTCTTTGGAGTTCTTATTAGATTTGATGGAGTACTAGAGTTCCTGACTGACATTTTGAATAGTTTCAGCAAATCGTAGATGTAAATGGAAAAAAATATATTTTGAGCTCGAACTTCACGCAGCGCCGTTTTTCTCGAGAAAATTAGTTGTAATATAGTTTTTCGTTGTGTTATAAAGAGTTCTGGAGTTCTCAACCTATTCCATCAATAGTTCTGATGAAATAACCAAATTATTGAATAATTCAAGGAAATCAAATACAAAAATGCGTTTCTATTGGCGGCATTTCTGGGTGGAATACTATTTCGTTCTCTGTCGTATTTAAGAGAGAGCTTTCGCAAAAAAGGAGGAAATTCATTAGAAAATATGAAATGAAAAAAACAGCTGTCATAAGGTGCCGACCCGAGTGTCGACCTCAAAAAACTAACATTTTCGATAAAGAAGTTTATTTCAAAACTGTTGGGATAGATGGAAGAGTTCCGTTGTTTACTAAAAAACAATAATAATATTCTGAAATACTCGTCGAGCGCTACTCAGAACTTTCATCAGAACTGTTATGTTCTTTGAAATTAGTTTTTTGAGGTTGGCACCTTATGACAGCTGATTTTTCTCAAATTTTATATTTTCCTATGATTTCTCTCTTTTTTTCTCGAAAGCTTCTTCTTCAATAGATGAGAGAAGGGAATAGTATTCCGCCAAGAAATGCCGCCTATAGAAACACTTCGTATTTTATTTCCTACAATTATTCAATAATTTGCTTCGGTAGTTCATCAGAACTATTGATGAAATTGGTTTGGAACTCCAGAACTCTTTATAATATAACGAAATAATATATCCGAACTCATTTAGATCTATACGATTTGCTGGAATTATTCAACATTCCAGTCAGGAACTCTATAACCCCATCACCTCTACTCAATGCTAAAAAAAATTCGTTTTTCGAAAAAAAAAAAAACGGCGCAACTTTATCTTGTTTACCTTGGCATGACCATGTTGCCAATATAGCCAGAGCTGCCTCTCAAAAGCTGGGATTCCTCTTCCGCGCGAAGAAGTATTTCACCTCACAACAGCTTCTGACACTCTACAAAGCCCAGATTCGACCATCCCTTGAGTACTGTTCGCACGTCTGGGGATCAGCTCCAAAACACTCCCTGAGGTTGCTGGAGTCGGTTCAAAGAAGAGCCATCAGGCTCATCAATGACCCAACTCAGACAAGATCACTGCAAACTTTACAACATTGGAGAGACGTTGCAGACCTATCACTCTTCTATCGCTACTATCATGGACGATGCTCTGTTGAATTGTCATCAGCTGTCCCCCCTGGAATGACCTTTGTTCGCCAAACGCGGCTGGCTCAAGTCTCACACCAATATGCAGTCAAAATTGAAACACCTAGAACAACATATTTCAAGAACTCCTTTTGTAGGACATCTTCACTGTGGAATTCTTTACCTACAGATGTATTTCCAGCGAACTACAATCTATTTACCTTCAAGAGGAGGATCCATAGATATTTGTCCCTCCTTAGTGCTCACTTCACATGAGTGCTGATATGTGACTATACAGGGTGAGTCATGACTAACCAGCCATAGCCCAATGGCGGATAGAGGAGGTCAAGGTGAGTTGATATATATATAATGAAATATTTTTTGCCTATTCTTTACAGAAATACAGGGCATTATTTGAATTCGGGGCAAAACTCCAATGAACGATATTTCAGGAACGTCTCGATGTTATCGGCTGAAATTCACTAGCAACTTACCTCTAATGACACTGTACAAGATGACGTACTATGAATAAAAAATTCCAGATCCGGACTTGGAAAACTCATTTTCTCTTTAGATGTCAAAATTTTGACCTTCTGGATCGGATTTTTCGAAAACTTTCATCAGAATCAGAAAGATCAGGAAAAATACTACAAGTATGGCTTTTCAATTCGTACGGCACACTTCGATCGTTTTGGTAAAAAAAATATCAAACAAAATACCGATGAATTTTTCTTCGATTTCGTCCATGCATATCACTCTCTACATTCGACTAAAAGTAATTAAATCAAATTTTGCCCTGGAAAGATTCAACAGCACACTTGAGATAAGGTATAATTCAATGAAAAATTCAGGACCGGACTTGATTTTGGAAAATAACAATCATAATTTCCGAAAAAGATTTGTCATCACATTTTGCGCCGCCAACAAGTTGGGCAGAAAGTTCTGAAGAAAATTCAGATATAAGTCCGCTGTCAGTCGTGCCTCGAAAAAATGAGGCCCTATCAAAACGTCATCCACCACACCACACCATACATTTAGGGAAAACTTGTGCTGTGAATTCTTTTGAACAATGGCATGGGGATTTTCATGTGCCCATTATGTGGGAATTCCTCAAATTGGTTATACCATCGCGCGTAAACTGTTATTCGCCCGTAAATAAAATTCTCGAAACTGTTCTCGGATGATTCAAAATCCACCGACAAGAAGATAAACGTTGAACTTCATCGCCTTCTTCAAGCCGCAGAACTTTTTGCAGGTGATAAGGATGCATTCGCTCTTTCTTCAAAGTTCTGGATATTTTCGATTGCGGAATGCCTAACGCATGCCCTATTCTTCTCGTGCTTATTGTTGTATTCTGCTCCACCATATCGATAATATTTTGACATCGAGCACCATTTATCCCCGGTTCAAGGTTCCTACTGGTTCCAGGAAATCGTCCATGTTCCCGCGAGGATTGAAAAACCCTTGCAAAAGTATCGCGGTTATTCTCCGGTCAGGGAATCTTCTTCGGTATTCTCTCAATGCAGCTCTTGAATTGCCATCACAAAAACCGTACACAAAAATAATATCTGCATATTCAGCGTTAGTGAAATGCAGTGGCATTTTGAAGATATGAAATGAAATATGAAATTATGAAATTAGTAACAGTATGTATTTGAAATTATCAATATCTTTCTCGGAAATTATGATTGTTATTTTCCAAAATCAAGTCCAGTCCTGAATTTTTTATTGAATTATACCTTTTCTCAAGTCTGCTGTTGAATCATTCCAGAAAAAAATTTGATTTAATTACTTTTAGTCGAATTTAGAGAGTAATATGCCCGGACGAAATCGAAGAAAAATTCATCGGTATTTTGTTTGATATTTTTTTACCAAAACGATCGAAGTGTGCCGTACGAATTGAATAGTCATACTTGTAGTATTTTTCCTGATCTTTCTGATTCTGATAAAAGTTTTCGAAAAATCCGATCCAGAAGGTCAAAATTTTGACATCTAAAGAGAAAATGAGTTTTCCAAGTCCGGATCTGGAATTTTTTATTCATAGTAAGTACGTCATCTTGTGGAGTGTCATTAGAGGTAAGTTGCTAGTGAATTTCAGCCGATAACATCGAGACGTTCCTGAAATATCGTTCATTGGAGTTTTGCCCCGAATTCAAATAATGCCCTGTATTTCTGTAAAGAATAGGCAAAAAATATTTTATTACATATATATCAACTCACCTTGACCTCCTCTATCCGCCATTGGGCTATGGCTGGTTAGTCATGACTCACCCTGTATAATTGTTTGAGACATACTTCAAACTGACATAATCGGTGGAACTATAGAAGACTTGGCCATTATTTCTGTTCAAGCGGAATTTGTCTCCAAAATTAGAAAAAATATTGTACATTACTAGTTAGGAAACGCATTTTGTGTAATGATAAGATTTTGCGAGACGAGCGAAGTATTTTGGGTAGAAGGACCATGGTTGCTAACCGTTTGGATCATCTTTTGTTTCAATAAAGTAGAATTATTATTATCATCATAGTACTACACACAAGTTTCACGAATATTTTAGATCAAGTTATGTTTTGTCTACTTTTTAAAATATGAAAACTTGCTCATTGCTGAAATGAAACTTGAAAATAGTTTACTTTGTTTTCAAATATTTTGTGTGTTTTAGTATGCTCAATATCAACGTTTCGGAACTGAGGAATTTGTTCTGCGATCTGGAGGTGTTCTCTGCCCACAACCTGGCTGTGGAATGGGTATTTTGATTGATGAAGGATGTGTGAAGGTAGCTTGCATCAATGGTTGTGGGGTATGTACATATTATATTCTCCTCAAGGAAAAACAACTTGGAAAACGATCTTGATTAATTTTTCCATATTTCAAAATGTGACATTCTCGTTGTTTCAACCAATATCAAATTACACCGAAAATTCCCCTCATATATCGGTAATTGCACTGCAGAGCGGAGATTGCTCTGCGAAGAGATCCCGTCGCCATAACAACACATTTATTAAGCCATGTCTCCAGTAAACAATAATAAATAAACAAATAAATGTCAGATTGACTTCAGAAAGTGATAAAAATGCGAGTGCTTCAAACAATCTATCTAGGAAAGTATAAATGAAAGTGAACCAATAAATACCAAATCCATCAGACAGAATTCCTTACTTTGTGAAATATTCCAATGAATTACATTCGTGCATAAAAATGACCAGCCAATTTTGCATTCAAGCGTGTTATCTTATACAAATTGCATTCGTTTATTTTCATATTTTGTAAGAGCCCTCCTCCTCCGGACTCGGGCTCTTTCGCCAAAATTTGAAAATAAATTCTTGCAACTTTTAGATAACAGGCTTTCTTGCCTAATTATCGGTAATTTTTATGCTCTCGTGCAATTTTAGCCGACAATTTTTCACGTTTGGATCTTCGTTTGAATGAATACATAACGGGGCGCATAAACTGCGTTGTTGCTAGGACATGTGGTCAACGAATATGCCTGTTAAAAAAAAATGACGCAAAACGTATTGTGTGGCTGTAAAATGTTCGTTTTTGCTGGGCATTTTGCAAAATAGTAAAAAAAATCACTCCAAATGTTACATTCCTGGTGGTTATTATATTTGATAATTTCAACTAGATTAGCACTCCTCAGATGTTATGGTTGAAAACGAAATTTTAGTAATGAACCTTAGTTACTAACAAGTAAAATCAACTTCTATTGTTATTCAAAGTTTAATTTGATTTTAAAACTATATATAGACATTGGATTTCAGATAACAAATTTGTAATTTAATATTCCTCACATTTCAATAATAAAACTCCTTCATCCATAGAACAGCTAGGCTCTCGAATTCATCGCCTGAGGAAGTATTCCCAACAACATATAATCTCCAGAAGTTCAAAAAAAAATCCAATACCTATCTCCTGTCCCTATCCTCCCTAGGAACGCACGATGTTCTTTGAACATTATAGGGATTTCCTTTCGTGCGCTCCAAGCGATAAAAAAAACGAGTTATACCCAAGTGTCAAATTTTATTTGGCTTCTACGCAGCATAGGTCGTAGGGTGCATCTTGCCATCTTATTAAAAGCAACTCCAATTTATGAAATTTTCTCACTGAATCTCCTAGTCTTCGAAAAATTATCGGTAATGATAATGCTGCTGAAGAGGTTATAAGTGAAAATTGCGCTATTTGTTGTGAAACTCTTAAACTTTGAGCATGTTTCCAACAATATTGTATATAATTCGCTCGAAAGTGAGATATCATCAATATTCCCTCGTTTCTTGCTCCTTGTAAAAATCAATGTTATATCAAAATACTTGAATGACTTGTATTTCAGTATGTCTTCTGCCGTCTTTGCCTCCAAGGCTATCACGTTGGTGAATGTCGAAGTGCAGACACCGAAATTGGCGCGAATGCGGAAGCCTGTTCGTACAACGTGGATCCCGCCAAGGCCTCCGAGGCTAGGTGGGACGAGGCTTCGAAAGTGGCGATAAAAGTGCTGACGAAGCCTTGCCCGATGTGCCGAACACCCACTGAAAGAGATGGTGAGTCTTGTGAGATACTTTTCCATCTATAGATATTGAAAACCAATTCAAAATCATCATCTGGATCCACGATGTTGCTCATACAGGGTGGCGCTCGAGAAAGGCAAAGTCATTAAATTTCTACCTTTTGTAATGTTTTAGATAATATCAAGAACATTTAAATACAATACTTGGTAGCTCTTCACTGTAGGTCATTTATTGATACCACTTAAACAATTAATCTATGGTAGAAGTCCATGGTTTCTCAAAGTGGAGTGAATAAATTCATACGCAAGACACACTAAGTCATCTCCACAAATTTATTATCAGAATTATCAGTATCTGAACATGTTTCGGACTATCATTAGTCCATCATCAGCAGAAGTATATTAGGACAATTTCTACAAGGAAAAATTTTTTATAGTTACACAAAATTATACCTTAGGTTATGTACTCATGTGGAAATGAAAAAAGGGGGCAACAATAATATTATTCAATATTAATTGACATGTTTAACAATTAACGTAGGGCAAAGTGGCCATGGCCCTAAGGGCTTTATGGAGGGTACCAACACTTGGTCATCCAAGTAATTAAAAATCGAATGGGACCCATCATGAGAATCATGGTTACCATGACGTGGTAGAGTGGTGAAGGGGGGTTTAACTTGATTTGGGATGCGTGAAGTATGTCTCAAATGACAAGTGACACAAAAATATCCTGTGGCATGAACAAAGAATATCAGACGAGAGGCGAGAAAGAAGCATGGCCGTAATGAGTCACATGTCAAATGGATAACAAAAAATGTTTACAATTTTTTTTTAGAAAATCAGACAAACTGAGAGATGATCTTATCTTGAAGGGTTTGAGCTGCAATTCAACAATCTCCCTTGTTTTTGATTTGGGAACAGAAAGGTGGACTCCGAGGCTTTCCATTCAAGGAATAGTACATGTCTTGAATACCCGGTGCACAACAATTATTATTGTACTAGCATCCTGGATGCCCTAAAAAACAACATTCCAGTCAAAATTGAGTGACACAATCAAAATCATAAAGACTTGAATTTTCCATGTTAATGAATCGGGAAAAAATAAACAGTCTGTGTATTATTCCATTCCCATGATTCTGCTGTGCGCCACCCTGTTTTTTATATTAGTTGTTTTTGAAAAATATTTCACTAGGATTATAGTAACACAAGCTTTCTGCAAAAAATCAATTTGCTGGATAGCATATTTGCGGAATTGTTTATTCATTTGACAATAACTAATTTATTTGATTACATCAACAAATATCAACAGAGGCATTTATTAATGAAAAGAGACAACCATTTGTTCATAATACTCTTGTAGAATGTCAATTGACATCTAGCTAACCTAGTACGTACTATTAATAATGCATTCTTCAAAAATATTGCTACCCATCTTCGAAATTTTGACTTTAAATGATTCAAAAGTTACAGCACTGGCTATTTGTGTTGGTTGCATAAATGATGGAAGTAAGATATGGTGCGCGCATTCGGCCATTATTACGTATTGAAAATTTCAGAAAAATCACTCGACCGGCCTACTATGATTTCTCTACGTCACAACGAGCGAGACGTTGATTCTACATTTTCCCGCTAGATGGTGATGCTGCCATTGCTGCTTTGACGAGTGGAAATAAAATGGCAAATGCCATTTTAGGTACGCGGAACATATGTAACAGTGGGATTAAACAACTCTGAATTCGAAAAATCTGCGACAATTTCAAAACTGACAGAAGTCATAATTGTGCAATGTCGCCATCTATTAGAAAATCAACGGAATCATTGCTCTCGCTGCTCTCGAGAGGTCGAGTAAAATTTCTGAAACAAAAGCGCATCAGTAATTACACCATATCTTACTTCCATCATTGTTACATAGTAAAGGCACTTAATCGACTCAACCACTCTTGATTGAGCCACACGCTTTGGAAAACTGATGAAATTGTAAATTTGTGTTATAGGAGGATGCATGCATATGGTATGTACACGAGCAGGATGTAATTTTCACTGGTGCTGGGTGTGTCAAACGCCTTGGACAAGAGAATGTATGGGGAACCATTGGTTTGGCTAGTGATTTTCAATTTCTTCAGATAATCAATTGATTTGAAAAAAAGTCATGTATATATTTTTTAAGAGGAACGGGTACGGAAGAAATACTTCACGCTTTTTATTGAAGAATACTACTATAAGTAGTCATGTAAGAAAAGACACAAAATTCAGTCGACAACAATCAATATAGAAAAAAAAATCAAAAAGGCAAGTCATCGCTTCCGGTACGACTGCCATCATCAGGCTTTTCTTTTCAAGACACTCCACTCAATGACGAATTATTGCCTTGTTACGTTTTGTCCCTATAAATTTATTGGCACTAATCTGATGTTGACCTTCGTCCCCTTTTTCTCGTTAAAATATTTCGACCACTATGAGAAATAAATGATTTATTTTAGTATGCACTGACTGTCAGGAAGATATTTAACATGATGTAGAAATTGATACATTAAAAGTTTGTGATCATTCTATATTAGTTATTCAATTTAGTTCTGAGTTGTTGATGGTTTCTGAAACACAGTCGACGACCATATCTATAACTTGTGTGTGTGTAAAAAGATGTCTTCTAGGTAGCTCATTAGCTACTGCCCGTTTCTCTTAACTTTGGAATGAGTTATATCTAAATAATTCAATGACATAGACAGACATATTTGATGTTTGGATATTCTATGTAGCGGACTGTGATTTGAATCATTTAATAATAAGTAGGCACTCAAAAAAATATATTGATAGAACAATAAACTAATCAACAGTTGCAAGATTTTTATTTCAAGACGGTATAGGTACTCAACATTTTTCAGAATGTGACTCTTTCTTGACAATAACCTTTACTTTCTGTATGAATCAATCATTCATTATTTTCGGTATCAGACAGCTACAATAACTAGAGAAAATCAGCAAACAAAACTTACACTTGGCGAAAAGTGGAACCAATACACTATGCGATGTTGCTTGGCCTGTAAATATTAGTATATTACGTAATATGTGTTGTAAGAAGCATAATACGCACGGAGCGGCGAGTGCGTAATTCCATGAGTGCATAATTGCTTTACAACACGCATTACGTACTATACTATACCTACTGCCATATAGTACATCAAAGTTTGGACAAACAATTTGAATTATAATTCTTGACAGTTATGTCATCCGCTGTTGACGGTGATTGCGCGATCATGACTAGCGGAATAAACGAAAACTGTGCGATGTGCTTACTGTGCGTAGAGCTACTTACTGAGGTTTTATCTCGTGTGGTCTTGCCTACTTTCTATAGTGGCTGTAGATAAAATAATATAAGATACATGAGAACTTTATCACGTGACTATTTTGGAATTTCTCTCCATTGAGGACTAATGTTCTCAGTATCAATAGTTGGCGCTGCTAGAGCTTGAGGTTTATGCTGATATAGAAATATCTTAGATTTTGCTAAATAGCCCTTGAGGCTATGTCCTGTTTTTGGAATGTTTTATAAAAAGTGGTCTTATCTGCAGTGGCGGCTCGTGACTTTCATGACAGAGGAGGCTGAATGATATGAGATTTATTGTGAAAAACAACTCCCTACTCACCCAAATATCCAATCCGCGAGCCAAATTTTTGAAATCATTATATCCTAATCGCCCCCAACATGATGACATCGATTGAGAATAATACGCAGTACCAACAAAATAGCTTATTCCTTACGTCAGATCCCGTCAGCCAGATATATTTTTTATAATTATCAGAATTGAACGAACGATTTTGTTTATTACCTGTTACAATCAGATTTTGTAATTCCGGTGTCGGACGTTTGTTTTTCACAATCAATTTATCTTCATAAGACAAAGCACTGAATGGGTTCACCAAAAAGTATTCCACTAAATTGCAATCGTTTAAAACACTCATTTTTCAGAAATTCATAGAACCCCTAACCATTAACCCAACATAAACAAAAACAATGCCCGCAATGCGCGACGCGACACGACAAACACGTGCTATTCGGGCGTATTGGGGTATTCCCATTGCGCGAGTGGGTTGCGCTGAAGGTTGCGCTTGCGCATTGTGAAAGGAGTCTAGCCTCCTATAGATGTTGCCAAGTTGAATATTTTACGCGTGATTTGCAGACTTCAACGTGTGATGCGTGGGCAAGCACTGTTGCCAATTCAAAAATATTAACCTAAAAACAGGAAATAAAATCAAAATCCATGTATTTTGGTGTCCTTTTAATGAGAAAGTATAGATAATATCAGTTCAGGGAAAATCTCTGAGGAGGCTCAGCCTCCGTTGCCTCCTCTGAGGAGCCGCCACTGCTTATCTGTATTAACACATACAAAAACTCAAATTATGATTGAGTTCTAGTTTGAGAAATAACGATCGTGAATCACCAGAAAAAAATCTTGTTAGATGTTTTTGATTGTTCCTGTTACCTGGCATGACGTTTTCAGTGTTACTTATAGTACAGAATAGATCTCTCCTAAATATGTATTGAATACTTGCCTGTTTTGTATGAAAAAGTATATAATTTTGGGTGAATTCTTGAATATTCTGGTAAGTACATGATATGCATTGAAATATGCATCTGGTGATTACATAATTATTTGAAGACATTTGACATTTGAAATATTCTCCTGTTGCGTATTTTTTAGTTTCAACTAACTTGAAGATCCCCTGCTGGAACCAATTTCTGAAGTGCCACTGCTCTATATATATTCTTTTTGGCCAGCCCTCAATCCGGCACTGCTCACAATAGTTCAGATTCATAATGTCTATCCGAAAATTCTCAAAATATTCAAGGAATTGTGTGAAAGCAGTTCGAATGTTGCAAGTACAATATTCACTATACCTTGGGACTCTCCTCTTAGAGTGTCTTACACACTTTTATGTTCAAGGATGAGAGAAACATTTTGAAGAAAAAACTAGAGCAGTGTTGTATAGTTAAGCATGAGTAGACCCAAAAATTAGGTTTCTATTAACAAGAAATACTGAATGAATGAAGGCTATGACGGGGTTTCCAAAAGATGAGAAGTTTAGTCCAAACTAATAATATCACAAGAAGTAATAAAGAACATTTGAGATTAATAGTTCAACAATAAGTAGACATACGTTTGTGGAGTCACAGAATAGTTTCATTTTATTCATTCTCTTCATATATGAATTCACTATTCATTGAAAAATGCATTCACTCCTCCACTTCCATGTCAATTTTGACATCCGTCATTTCCTTTTATTACTTTCAAAATTACGTAAAATGTCTAATAAACCTCCAAATGTAGTCCCAGGTTTAGGTTCATCCAGCTTACTAGTGAAACCAATCAAGGTAGAGGAAAAACCAAAACTCAACAAATTCAAATGTAGTGCCTCAGAAAACAAACTGAAAGTAAGCGGAAAAGGAATCAAGGAAAGAATCGTGAACAAAGTGAGATCGTGGAGTAGCCGAGATAAATACGCCACGCATGAAGGTATCGAAGTGGAAACAGCTCTTGCAAAGTCTCCTACACCACAGGAAATTGACAGTGAATCAATGGAGCACCTCGCCCATTCAAACCTCACCCGAGCAAGGGACAGCCTCGAAAACTTATTGAAGGATGAGAGAAATATGCCGAACGACCATTGGACTTCTCGAGCTTGCTCTTCTACCCCAGAAACGTCCCAGAAAAGTTCTCCTGAGTCCCAAAAATCGGCACCAGACACTTCGAAAACGGCCGCCAAGAATCTCATCTGGGACCCTTTCGACAAAAAGAGCAGGAAGAACCGCAATAAGGACTTAGGAAGAAAGAAAAAGAAACATCATAACGAAAGTCCGAAGAAAGAGAATTCTTCCATGCCTCTGGAGGGAAAACCTTATTTGTCAAAGACAGTGTTAGGGGAAACTGATGAGACCGAGACTGTGGAAGAGGAATATTCTTATAAATACGAATATTTCCCTAAGAATAGTAAGTCGGTTGTATTCACGAACGAAGTTTTCGTGGTTTATTTCCATGAAAACGATGTGGTGTACGAGTCGAAGGAACCTTTGAAAAAGGATATTGATCAACAAGAAAGGAATAAAGAAATGAGACAAGGGCATCTGCTTAAAACTCAAGAAAAATATAATTTATGTCTGTATTGAGAGTGTGACGTGGAAGTTGTGATTATTGTTTTTTATATGAAAAGAAAAAATACTAATGAGGTCCAGTAATCAACTCCGATGCTTTTTTGTTACGTTTCTCGTCATTTTTGTGTAGGTATTTAGAGTACGGGGTACTTGGCCTCACAAAAAGACAGAGACAAAGTAAGTTATAAAGTATACATTTTGTAGATTACATTTTAAACGTTACCAAACTTATTCCGAATAACATGAATCCATCTAAAATCGAGGAATTCTGATAATAAATCAACAAAACAAACAATATCAACAGCATTTAGAAAATAATACATAATAAGAAAAAGAGTCAATTACGTATATACAGTGTGTCTCACTTATAATGGAAACACCCCTGTATGTTACGTATTCGTTTGGTAGGGATCCTGAAATTTGCTGGAGCGAGAGATATAACGAAAATGCACTTTATGACCAGTTGGGGTAATCTTCAGTGATATACACTGCTCGCCAATTTCCCCGATTTCCGGAAACTGATATTAGGAGTCGAAATAGGTTGAAAATCACTTCAGATTCAGATTCAGGACACCCAATTCAATAACTATCCAAATTTTTCCGAGAAAATGTTCAGTTCTGAACATTTCATTTTTGTCTCACTTTTCGTAATCGTTGGGGTAGGATCCTAAAATTTTGCTGAAGCGAGAGATTTACCTAAAATGTACTTTATGACCAAGCATGTTCATCTTCAGTGATATACACTGCTCGCCAACAGCCGTGGAACTACACACATGTCCTTATAAAATAAGATCAAGAGATTAAAAATCACTTCGGATTCGAAAACAGGACGTACAATTCACTTCTCATATTTTGACGCATTATTATCGGTAATACTACTACGGAAGTGTTTCCATGAAAAGTGAGACAAAAATGAATTTTTCAGAACTGAAATTTCTTCAGGAAAAATATGAATATTTAGTCAATTGGACGTTGTGATTTCGAATCAAAAGTGATTTTCAACCTATTTTGCCTCCTAAAGTTTTTTCCGGAAACTGGGGTGGTTCCATGGCTGTTGGCGAGCAGTGTATATCACTGAAGATGATCCCACTTGGTCATTGAGTGCATTTTTGGTATATCTCGCGCTCCAACTAATTTCAGGATCCTTAACCAAAGATTACGTAAGATACAGGGGTGTATCCATTAGAAGTTAGACACACTGATTTTTGGTTATGTATATTATGGTGTGGTTATTTGAATATAACGTCAACATTGATATCAACACTTCTTTGTTTAAAATGAAGAAATTCAATATTCAATTAGTATATAGAGAGGATAGTTCCTCTCAATAAGTTCTACTTTTAATCTTCAAATTCCATCATCCTGAATTCTCTCGAACTCTGGATGAAAGGAAAAACAAATTTAATTTGCGTTTTGAGAGCTAAGTAGGCATATCTACTTAGCCTATTTAACTTATCATAGGGATGCTCATATACCTAAAATCTACCTTCAGAGTAGGTACCTACTCAATGAAAAAATAAAAAATAAGAAGGCATGTATGCAACTGATGAGATCATCACCTTATAAGATTTCTTCAATACAATCAAGATGCATGCATTTTTCGTTGAATGTGGGCTTAGAAATATCAATGTATCTATAGTAACATGATGACAGCGGCATTTTCTTTTATAACAAACAAATCTGCTGAAAGATTACAATTGAAAAGTTTGTTTACGAAAATTATTCAACAATTTGCTATGAAGTAGAAAAATAATCATTCCATCTAATCATATGACTGACAAGTGCTTCATTAGCTGTTGTATAAAGACAGGTAAGTGAATTATACATAATCATTTTCCCAAAAGACTCAGGATGTTTTTCAATAAGAAAGTAAGATTTCTTTTATGAATGGGAAATTATTTGCTATTGGTATCTTTTGAATTTTGAAAACTCGATACTGTGTGTTCCGTTCTCGGAATATTTCGATTTGAAAATAATGGAGTAATAGCTGATGCTCGTATAAAATGAATTTTATTGAGATCAATTACTTGTTTATTCAGATTCAAAGACGATAACACCATTCTTGTGCTGTGGTCATTGATTGAACAAAGAATCACAAGTAAAAAATTGAGAAATATTTGACTAGAAACATAAAATATTAAATCACTTAAGAGTAAGTGTTCAAAATGTCCTCCGTTTCCACGAATACACGATTCTATATTTTTTTCATGAAAGCATTATTTTTCTAAACGGTTGAGGATCAGCTGTAAGATCATCTAAGTGATGTTCAATTCCGACTTGCAACTCCAGACGTGAATTTACCTCTGTAACACTTTTTGCTTGATACAACGAAACTGTGTAATCCATGTTTTTAGTAAAATTTGTTTCAATGATATTCTTGTGAATCATTGATGTTGAATCAATGAATTTAACATTAGAAATGTCGGTTTGCAATAAATTGGTGATGATTTTTCATAATACTCACTCGAATACATTGCTTTTTATACCAGCAACAGTTATTATCACTTCATCATTTTCAAATCGGAATATTTTGACAACGGAACACAGTATCGAGTTCCACCAAGAGTACCTTTTTGGTGTAAAATTGTATAATGTTCAAGTTCTCATCAAATTCGGATTGAAAAATCTAACCTCAAAAAAGTTATGTTCAACACTACTAAGTACGAACCGTGTAACTAGCACCATCTATGAGAGTCAGATAGAAAAACAAATTCATGCCATGTGTAAGATTCCAAAAAACGTCCATACAAAATTTGTAAACAAATCATTTTTTCAACACCTTGTATCTTGAAAACGGATGCTGTTACGACATTTTTTACTGGGCAAATCCAACTTATTTTGCAGTGTTCTACCTACCCTAGCAAGAGGGTCAGGTTTTTTTGAAACACCCTGTATGTATATTATATCTTCATTAACACTGAATAGAAACAGAATAAGTTTTTCCAGTTATGTCGTATTTCAATGTTTTTTGATGTCTCTAATCAACTAAGAAATAAGGGTTTATTGGCGTTGAAAAATAAAGAAAAACTAGTTGGTGTGCATAAAAATTATAGTGAACAATTTTTGACATTGGATTATTGTTATATTTACATACTATGGTTTTATTGAGAATGTATATATAGTGAAATAGTGAACTGAACTTGCCATTGATTCACGAGAAATATCCTCACTTGCAACCTTAGTCCTCACCCTTGTTGCTTTTGCTTGTCCGAAATTTGAACTTCCTCCTATATTCAAGGGATGCGAGTCAGTCGAATCTTTTCTGTCGGTACCCTTTTCAGGAGAAGTAATTGGGAAAAACAATAACTAGTAATAATAAAACAGTAACTAAATATTCATGATGTCTTCAGAATCAGAAGATGACATAGAAAACAAAGGGAAAATATATCTGAAACCTCGTATCCCCCGTCCCCCTAATGCTTTTATGCTGTACGCCAATGAAAACAGGAAAATCATGTCACAGCAATATCCAGCAGAATCGAATAAGGACATCAGCAAAAAGCTAGGTTCAACTTGGAAAAGTCTGGATAAAGAAGAAAAGGATAAATATTTCGAGAAAGCCCGTAACGTTGATTTGGAACACAAGAAAAAATATCCAGGTGAGTGATTCATCAGATGTGGAAGGGTAGATTTGACTGAGAAATTCTCAGTTCTAGACCTGCTAATTTTTTACTGATATGGTGGCCAGGAGAACAGAGTTTCTGTAGCTTTTGAGTTGGTCAAGATACAATTATAAAATTTTGACCAGTTACAATTCGTCAAAGTACTTTCCCCTACAAAAAGTCATGGGAAATATAACCCTTGGAATGCAATCTCAGCATTTTTGGTATGGCAGATGTAAAAGTTTCAGTTTATTTTTTTAACTCCTTGGAGCGCACGAAAGGGCGGGAAGGGATGCCTATAATATTCAGTTTACCCGCTACTGATACTTTCAAAGATCAAACTTTCTAGTCCAAGAGCCGGCTGCAAATTTCGATAGTCATCTGATAAAGTAATGGTACAGGGTGTTTGGTGCATCGTGTGCCAAATTGAAATGGTCGAATGAAGGGGTCATCTGCTATCCTTTCAGACTAATTAACACCTTTCATGCCCTCTGTGGATTATTTTTAATCGTCTTTTTATCTGTTTATCAAAATAAAACCCAAATTCCACATTCCAATTCAAATATTGAAAAAAATATAAGGCATAGACTCTGGATTTTGATTTTATTCAGATTTGCATTATGTTAGAGTAATTTTGAATACAAAATTAGTGACATAAGTCATCTAGTTTTTTTTAATTCACTCGCAAAGTTTCGAAAACCCAAAAGCGACCAGGATCTTCCAACTCCCTCAAAAGTTCTCTAGTCCATCTCCTTGCCAATAATGTGTCACATGCCATTAATATATTTTAACAACTTTGTGAATTCGCTAGAAATGTCAATCAAGTCTCATAAGGCTGTTATTAAAAATTATCTGAAAAATTATTTTTGCGTAACTGTTACTCCAGAAACAAGTAAAATTTATATTTCTCTCACAACGTGAATCTGTTTGAACAAATCACAAACTGTCACCGACCCCATATAATTTTTCAGTCGAGACATCACTGTCTCTGCTACCTAACGTGTTCATTTCATCGTACTCCACGATTCTTTCATGCGTGGATTGGGCGCGATGGCCATATTGTATGGCCACCACGTTCTCCAGACCTAACTCCGTTGGACTTTTATGTCCGGGGACCTGACAAACGGCTGGTATACGCCACGGAAGTTCCAACTAGGGATGTACTAGTACAACGCATAGAAACGGCCTTCGATATACCATTAAGGAGGAAATACGACTTCGAACAACAACTGTCGAAATACGAAACAGATGCCGAGCCTGCATTCGCAACAAAGGTCAACAATTTGAGCAGGATTTGTGAGATGAGATACGAGACAGATTTCCCCTCATAAGAGTAAGATAACAAATTCAAAAGTTCAGGTATCATTCAAACAAAAAATATTTTTGAATCACAATTCTGAATATTTGCCTTATAATGTGACTCGATTCACAATTCTAGCGAATTCACAAAGTTGTTGAAAGTTATTTATGGCATGTGACACATCAT